CACAGTCATACTCTCAAGGGAAAAAAAAAACGTTTAAGTCCTGTCCAACCAATAGGAAATTCAAAAATAAGAAGCAACAGCTCCCTTAGATAAGAAGGAATCAGCCCAAGAACTCCAACACTACAAAAAAAGTGTCTTCATACCTCTAAAGAATTACACTAGCTCTATAGCAATGGACCCTAACCAATTGAAAAGTTTGAAATGACAGATTAAAAAAACAAAATATGTACTGCAAGGAAACTCAGTGAGATCCAAGAGAAATTTAAAATCCATCTCAAATAAACCAGAAAACAGTGCAGGATATGAAACATGAGATAGCAATATTAATATAAAACCAAATAGAACTTTTAGAATTGAAAAACTCACTAAAGGGAACATCAAAATACACTTGGAAGCAGGCCAGGCATGGTGGCTCACAGCTTTAATCACAGCACTTTGGGAGGCCAAGGTGGGTGAATCACCTGAGTTCAGGAGTTCGAGACGAGCCCAGATGACATGGCAAAACCTTGTCTCTACTAAAAATACAAAAGTTAGCCAAATGTGGTGGCATGCACCTGTAATCCCAGCTACTCCAGAAGGTGAGGCAGGAGAATCACTTGAACCCAGGAAGCAGAGATTGCAGTGAGTCGAGATCATGCCACTGCACTCCAGCCTGGGCAACAGAGTGAGACTCCATCTCAAAAAAAAAAAAAAAACAAAACAAAGACAAAAAACTACAACATTTGGAAGCTTTAATAATAAACTACACCAAGCAGAAGACAAGATTTCAGAGCTCGAATACCAGCCTTTTAAATTAACCCAGTTAGACAAAAAGAAAGAATCTGAAAAATGAGCAAAGCCTTTGAGAAATACGAGATTATGTAAAGCAACCAAACCTATGACTTATTGGTATTCTTGATGGAGAAGAGGAAGAAGTAAGAAAATTGGAAAACATATTTGAGGCAATAATTCAAGAAAACTTCCCTAATCTTGCTAGAGAGGTTGACATCCAGATGCAAGAAATTCAGAAAACACCTGCAAGATACAAGATGACCATCCCCAAGGAATATAGGCCATCAGACTATGCAAGGTCAACACCAAAGAAAAAATCTGAAAGGCATCTAAAGAAAAGGGCCAAATTACCTACAAAGCAAATCCCATCAGACTAATAGATGAGTTCTCAGCAGAAACCTTATAAGCAAGAGAGATGAGGGGCCTATTTTTAGCCTCCTTAAAGAAAAAAAAAAAGCCAGCCAAGAATTTCATAATCTGCCAAACTAAGCTCCATCAATGAAGGAGAAATAAAGTCTTTCCCAGGCAAGCAAACACTAAGGGAATTTGTCACCACCACACCTGCCATACAAGAAATACTCAAACGAGTTCTAAACATGGAAACCAAAAAACAATACTTGCTACCATATAAGCACACAAAAATACAAAGTTCAGATATCTTATAGAGAGCAATTATGCAATTGAGACTAGAAAGCAACTACCTAACAATACTCAAATATCAAATGTATAGGAACAAAACCTCAAATATCAATATTAACCTAGAACATAAATGGCCTATATGCTCCACTTGAAGGACCCAGAGAGGCAAATTAGATTTTTAAAATGACCCAACCTTCTGCTGAATTCAAGAGACTCATCTCACATGTAATGACAACCACAGGCTCAAAGTGAAGGGATGGAGAAAGATCTAGCATGCAAATAGAAAATTTAAACAGAACAGATGTTGCTACACTTGTATGAGAAGAAACAGACATTAAACCAACAACATCAAAAACAAAGGAGGGCATTATATAACAATAAAGGGTTCAATTCAACCAGAAAATATAACTATCCTACATAAATATGCACTCAATGTTGGAGCACCCAGGTTCATAAAACAAATACTACTAGACCTACAGAAAAAGATAGCAATACAAGAATAGTGGGGGACTTCAACACCCCACTGACAGCACTAGACAGATCACCACAGCAGAAAACTAACAAAGGTATACTCTGGACTTAAATCAGGCTCTTGACCAAATGGACCTGACAGACATCTGCAGAATATTCCACCCAACAACACAGAATATACATTTTTCACATCTGTACATGGAACATTCTCTAAAATTGACCACATAGTCGTAAGTCATGTCTCAATAAGATAAAAAAAATCAAAATCATATCAAGCATCTTCTGAGGTCATAATGAAATAAAATTAGAAATGAAGAACAAGACGAATTCTCAAAACTACACAGATACATGTAAACTAAACAACTTGCACCTAAATTTTGAATAAACAAAATTAATGCATAAATCAAAAAAAATTGAAACATGAAAATTGAAACACAACATACCAAAACCCCTGGGATAGGCACTTTAATGAATACCAGAACTACATGGACCTGTAATTGAAAGAAGATTCTTAAAGAAAAAACTTCTTGAGATATTAATTTTAAAAGAGAAGTGCCAGCCAGGTACGGTAGCTAATGCCTGTAATACCAGCACTTTGGAAGGCCGAGGTGGGCAGATTGTCTGAGCTCAGGAGTTCAAGACCCTCGTGGCCAACATGGCGAAGCCCCATCTTTACCAAATACAAAAATCAGCCAGGTGTAGTGGCAGGTGCCTGTAATCCTAGCTACTCAGGAAGCTGAGGCAGACAGAATTGCTCAAACCCAGGAGGCGGAGGTTTCAGTGAGCCAAGATCATGCCACTGCCCTCAAGCCAGGGTGACAGAGTGAGACTCCGTCTCAAAAAAAAATTAAAAATTTTTTAAACAGTTTAAAAAGTGCCAGTGTAACACAAGAATTGGTAGAGAGTTTTGGAGCCTCAACCATTCATTTGTGTCTGATGAAGATAGCCAAGAACTGTCTTTGTGGGGAGTAGGATAAGGAGTTGGCATCTCCTATAGGCCTCCCTGAGTCCATTTTGGTATAGAGATGGAGCAGTAATGTATCAATCAGTCTTGGTTAGGTTTCTTCACTCTCATTAGAGGATTTTAACAGTTTGTATGAGTTGATTTTAAAAGTCAATCTATTTGCTTTTAATCAGCAAAATCACTCTGTACTCCAAGATCATGCCAGAGAATGACTCCCTAAGGGCCTCCAGCTCTTATGAAAATCAAAGTTTCGAAAAGTAACATTTTCAGAGGATGGTAGACTAAAGGATATGTAGTTTATTCATCTCTGTAATTTGTCTAGATTTTAACCCTAGATCAAACCAAAACATCACTCATTAAGCTGAATAAATATTTGGACAGTGTTCTTTGTTGTTGTTGTTTTTGACAAGTCCCTCTACTCCTATAAAATTGCTTTTACTGAATTGAGCTTTGTTGTGATGTCCTCTGCTTCTTACTTTCTCTTGCTTTTATGACTAAGATATATTGAGGAGGTTACCTCAGCCTAGCCCTTCATAAGCCCCATGGGAGAAGAGTTCCTCAGACCTTAAGTGCAAGAAAGAGCTTTGACTCTCTAATAAAATGACATATTTTTATTTTATAGACAAGACCATGCAAGTTTTATGTATATCTGGTCATGTTAATAAATTTACTTCCACTGAAATTATTTTCATTTTTATTTTTACTTTTTAAATCACTTGACATAAATTTGAAATAACACTGTAAAGGATTCACTATTAAAGTGTTTTTATTTAATTATACATATTCTCTATGTTTCCAGAGAGATCAACTCAACTACAGCCTCTGTGGGTTCTTGCCTTCTTGAAATAATCAAGTCTTCTTGGAAGTCCCAAAGGGGGTAGCAGGGAAGCATGAGCCACTCAGTAAGAGGGTCTTCCAATTTTAATGTAATGTCACTTCACCTCATCTCCCATGAGCAGAACTTTATTGGCTGGTTGCCTTTGATCAACTTGGGTTCTCATGGTTTTCTTGATCAATGATGCTGGAACTGGAAATTTCTAACATCGCTCTGTGACTGCTCTTTGTCTAGTATCCATTTCTATCCTGTGCCATCTAACCCTAAACTGTGCCATCAACTATACAAGTTGCCTCTACTCTGATCTGATAGATGTGGCAAACAAGAAGAAATGAGTTAACAGAAAAACAAGCAAGATTCATAAATCTCAGACCAAAAAAAAATCAATCCTAAGATCATATTTTAACTAGATAACTTTTAGAAATCCAAATTACATTATATTTGTACTTAGGAATTACATTATATTTGTACTTATGAATTTTATTTAGTATGCAAAATATGAAAATGTCATTTAGAAATTACATATACACTGAATTTATTAAGACATATATCCTAATAAACATGTTCTCTTTTCTCTGGAAATTAACCTTTAGAAAAAGCTACTGTGAAACAGGTAATTCTCAATTACCAGAGTATAAAGCATGGCCTCTTAAGATTATTCAAAAAATTCTTATTTTCAGGCCACAGAGTACATATACACACTTGCCATCAATGTATGAGTGGAAGGAGAATACATTCTTATATAGTTTAAAAGAGACATTAATAGAAAAATAGATATGCTTTTAAAAACAACTCTTAGGTGAACTAAATTAAGTATTTTATTTCAGATTATTGAAGCTTCTTCATGAAAACAGTCATTCAAGAGTTACTCCCTAATTCATTCTATGAAGCCAGTATTACCCTGATGCCAAAGTCAAACAGCGTAGAAAAAATACAGAACAATATGTTTTATGAATATTGATGCAAACATCCTCAACAAAATATTAACAAACCAAATTCAATAGCATCTTTAAAAGATTATACACCATGGCCATGGGGGAGTTATTCCTGTAATGCAAGGATGGTTAAACATATGAAAATCAACTAATGTAAGATACCATATTAACAGGATGTAGGGGAAAATATGATTATCTCAATTAATGTAGAAAAAGTATTTGACAAATTCCAACACTTTCTCATGACAAAAACACACAAAACTAGGAACAGAAGGAAACTACCTCAACATCACTAAAAGTTGTTTTTATTCAAAACATGTCTAGATTAATCATCTATATCAAGGAAACTGGGCTGATTAAAAAAATTCTCATAAGAAGTACTTACCTGCCAATATTTTCTTGAACTGCCTAAACCATATGTCACAGTGGTCTTCACTTAAATTAATAAGATCAAGTGTAGAATTCTTTAGTTTATTTTGTTCCTTTTTCAAGCAGATGAAGAGTGTGATACCTAATAAAGTACCACTTCTCTGCTGTTTAACAGACCAACGCCGTTTCAGTTTCACAGAGAATATGTCTTTGAGTTCAATAAATTCTTCTTTACATAGCAAGTCATACTGAGAATCACCTGAAAAAAAAATTAAAATTTCCAGTTAAAACCATTGTGTCGCATAGAGAGGAACAACAGACACTGGGGCTTACCGGAAGGTAGAAAGTGGGTGAAGGGAGAGGATCAAGAAAAATAAATAATGGGTGCTAGGCTTAATACCTGGGTGATGAAATAATCTGTACAACAAACCCTCATGACACAAATGTACCTATATAACAAACCTGCATATGTACCCCTGAACCTAAAAAGTTAAAAACTAAAATGAATTTTTATTCATTTTATTTTGAATATTCATTTTATTTTGAAAGAAAAAAAAATTGTGCCTGTATCTAAATAATAGTTAAAACCAAAAAAACTTTTCATTTGTAATTTTATGGATTGCCCTGTATGCCAGTCTCTACATGAGAAGGAAAGGGGATGAAAACAAAACTGGGGTTTATTTTGTCAATAATCGGATTAAAAATAGAATGGAAGAGAGACCCTGCCACACAGGCCTACAACATTCAACATCCGAGGATAGTCAATGTATGAAGAATTCCAAGAACATAAACAAAGTGACATTTTAGTAACAAATTGGTTTCACACAAGGAGCTCTTTGGTACTAAGGATAAAGTAAAGTAACAGAAAAATAGAATTCACTAATAGAAGTGACTTTATGACAAATTGTTGAAGGCATCCTTAATGAAAAGGAAATATACATTCCCATTATAGTAACACATACAAAGAGGAAGCAGAAGTACTTGCGAGTAGGAAACATTATAAACTCTGTCAATCAAGGAGGAGATAGCCCCCCGAATTTATCTGTAATCAGACTTTAAAAAAATAGTGGCATAAAATTTTCATGATGTATCTTTAAACCATAGGTCAGAAAATAATTATTGTGGAAAAGACTATTTCAATTGACACTCAAGGTAGAAGTGTCTTAGACATTAAAAAGACTTCCAAAACTTCTGCCTTGGCCAACATGGGGTAATAAGAAACTAGTTTTACCTTTCACCTAAAACTACAAAAGCACACAAGATATGTGAAACAGTAGTTTTCAGACACTGGACATCAGGTAACACAGGGCAGTGAAGCCGAAGAGGAGGAAAACAAAGGGAACCTTATGACTGCCCCAACCTATTGCCTGCAGAGAGTCTCCAGGTCACAGGGCAGATACAGGAATCCTGGGGGCCTGGTGGTCTCCCTGAGTTAAGGAGAATTGGGGGTTCAGGAAGACTAAGGGAATTAGAGTTCACTGTGCAATTTACTACAGAAGAGAAGCCTGAACCGTGAACACTAGATTTGCAGAGGTCCCCTTGAGACTTTAGCTGAAAGTATTGATCAGCAGATGTGCGAAGCCAGGTAAGAACTACTAGAAGAATTAACAGAACAATGCTTAGAGATGACACAGGTGTTCCTACCAGCCAAAGTGGAAAAACATGGAAATTCATATGATGTTATGGTAAGTATTTAGAAGAGTATTGGTCCTTAGTGAGCTGACTAAAGACTGCTGTGATTCCACCTAACAAAGCTTAAAAGCAAGCCTCTCAAAAGGATGTCACTTTTTCCAGGTAACTACATCCTAGAACAATGCCAAAAAAATATTTACAGAAATTAAAAAAAAAAAATCAGCAATTCTGCACGGTAAAATTCACAGTATCACTCATCTAATCCAAAATCACTAGACATGCAAAGCAGCAGCAAACATATGAACCAAAACAGGAGAAAAAGTAATCAATAGAAACACATGCAGAAATGACTCGAGTCTAAAAGTAACAGAAAGCAGAGAACCTCTCTCAGCTTTTTAGCCCTTGAAGTACAAACAATGTTATCCTCCGATTGGAGTGAGGATGTTCATATGCTCACTAGGAAGTTCCTTGTCTGCATTCTCAGGGGCATTTTTGGCCTCTCCCAATTATTCTGCAAGCTATAGTCTGATTGCTCACGAAGCATACACACCACTAAAACAAAGAAAGAACGGAAGGAATGGTAGAAGACAGAAGGCAAGTAAGAGCAAATCAAAATAAAGGAAGAGTGAGAAAGAAAGAGCAGAAGAGAAAAAGACATAAGGAAAGGCAAGACAGAGAGAAGGGGACACACAGAGAGAAGGGGAGACAGGAAGGCAAGAGGGAAGGAAAGGAAAAGAAAAACAGGAAGAAAAGGAAGGAAGGAAGAAAAGGAAGAAAAGGGAGGAAGGGAGGGAGGGAAGGAGGAAGGGAGGAAGAGAGGAGGGAGGAAGACAGGGAGGAAGGAAGACAGGGAGGAAGGAAGACAGGGAGGGAAGGGGAGGGGAACAGAGAGGGAGAGGGACGGTCCGGGTGAGGGGGAGAAGGGAGAGCAGGTGGGAGGGAGAGGAGGGAGAGGAGAGGGAGGGAGAGGAGAGAGAGGGAGAGGAGAGAGAGGGAGAGGAGAGAGAGGAGGAGGAGAGAGAGGAGAGGGAGGGAGAGGAGGGGAGGGGAGGAGAAGAGGAGGGGGAGGGAGAGGAGAGAGAGGAGGGGGAAGGGAGAGGAGAGAGAGGGGGGGAGGAGAGAGGAGGGGGAGGGAGAGGAGGGGGGAGGGAGAGGAGAGAGAGGAGGGGGAGGGAGAGGAGAGAGAGGAGGGGGAGGGAGAGGAGAGAGAGGAGGGAGAGGAGAGAGAGGAGGGAGAGGAGAGAGAGGAGGGGGGAGGGAGAGGAGAGAGGAGAGAGGAGGGAGGGAGAGGAGAGAGGAGGGAGGGAGAGGAGAGAGGAGGGAGGGAGAAGAGAGAGGAGGGAGGGAGAGGAGAGAGGAGGGAGGGAGAGGAGAGAGAGGAGAGGGGAGGGAGAGGAGAGAGAGGAGTGGGGAGGAGGAGGGAAGAGGCAATGGAAAGACCTTTTCTCAATTATTGTGGTTGTGGGATAGGGTAATACTAAATATTTTTTAGGTCTTTTGTTTCTTAGAAGGCTCAAGTTTCAGTTCTTCTCCTGGTCCATTTCTAGAGTCACCTAGTGACCTAAAACTCAACAGTGGAGTAAAAGTATTTTAGTGAAATGCTCTGTGTGTCTTTATAAAATGAATGCTTTGCCTGGTCCCGGTCAGTAAATACTAATTGATTTCCCCCCATCAGTAAGACTGACTTTTCTCTAGAACAGCAGTTTCCAAACTCTTTAGTCTCAGGCCCTTCTGTGCACCCTTAAAGACTGAGGGCCACAAATAACTTTGGTTTATGTAAGTTATATCTATCTATTCTTACTGTATTCAAAATTAAAACCAAGCTTTTTTTTTTTTTTTTTTTTAAAGGACAAAAATGCAAAGCACAAAGCACACACTCCATTAGGGCAAGGCTATCCCCACATATCCCATAGCCTCTGGAAAACTCCACCGTATCCTTGGAGAGAAGGCGAGTGAAAGACATTCTTAGCAATATTATAAAAACAGTTGTGACCTCACCAACCCTGAGAGCCCCTGGACTGCACTTTGAAAATGCTACTTTAACACATTTTACATTGCTTGTTCCTCTTGATCATATTATGAAGTTATAGCCTTTTACATATTCAACATTCCAATTAACTAAAATTCTTGTCTCTATTTTAATATTCATGCTTGTCACGGACTGAACTGTGAGAGTCCCTTCAATCTAACTCCTTTGTTATGAACTATAGATGTCTTTGAAAACAGCCTTTCTCTTATAAAAACAGTGTTTCAAGCTCATCTGGATTCTCCAAGAAGTCCTGGTTCCTTTAAGGAAGAATATATTAGAAATGAAAAGCTGGAGAGTATGGTATTATATGCAAAGGAAACCAAACTCAGTCACAGAAATCATCGGTGGTACACTTGCATCTGGTCAGCATATTACTGGTCATTTGCACCTGTTGAGAAAGTAGGTTTATGGTCAGGGTCCCCAGAACGCTTGGGAGAGACCAGGGAAGTCTTGCACCCTTCCTCTACCCTCAAGAATGAAAGCAAGCAGGCTTACCAAAGGTCCTGAAAAATCCTCACCCAATGATGGACTACATGGAAAATACTGTCCTATGAAGTTGAAGGAAGCTTGTCTTCTACACAGGGGTGTTACTGGGTGTCTGCTTCACAAGGGTGAATGCATATAGATAACATGTATCTCTTACCCACCTAAAGAAACTTGTGGGCTTGGTTATATTTGTGGGTATTTTCCAAAAATCAGCTAGTCAAATGACAAAACTGAGTATCTTTTCATTTCTTTTTCTTTAAGACACAGTCTTCTTATGTTTGCCCAGCCTAGAGTGGAGTAGTTATTGACAGATGTGATTGTGGTGCACTTACAGCCCTGAACTCCTGAGCTCAAGTGATCCTCCTACCTCAGCCTCCCTAGTAACTGGGACTACAGGTGTGCATCATCACACCCAGCTCACTTTTTTTTTTTTTAAAGAGTTGCCTCTACACATTCTTTGCCTTATTCTAAATGGTTGTCTATTTTATTCTTACCAAATTTTAAAGTCCTTCAAATAATCTTGAATTTAGTCCCTTATTATATACGTTGCAAATAATTTCTGCTAGGCTAATTTTATAATACTAGTTATGCTCTTGTATCACATATAAATTTAGAGTCTCCTTTTATGTAGTCAAACCTAGAACAATAAGAGCACAAAGGAAGGAAGCTGGGATTGGGGGTGGAGACAAATAGCCACTGAGGGAAAGAAAAAAATGAAAGCAATGAAATAAACTCTTTCCAGTTTTCATTGAAGTCCTGTGCTTCGGTCTGAATTTAACATGTTTGTGCTTTACTTAACAGTTCAATGACTATTTCAGTATAAAGTATCTTGCAAATTGCAAATTTAAAGATACTAAACCAAGAGCCAACATCACGCTTACTGAAATCCAGAAGGATTTCCAAAAACAGGACAAGAATACCTATTATTACTCATACCATTCAATTATTGTAGGCATTCTAGTCAATACATAAGGAAAGTGAAACAAAAGACAGTAAATGATGGAGTTAAGGGGAAAGGAGGAGTGGAAACTGTAACTATTTAAAGGTGTTATAATTTTTTTTTGTAAAATTCAAAGTAATAAACTTAATGCCATTAGGCTTAATAAAAACAT